AATTGGAAGCCAGTGAACAGACAACCCTACTGGCTACTTCTGGTTTATGCCTCTTGTGGCTATGCTATGATTTATTCATGGGTGCCAAAGCTTCAGCCTTTCATTTGTGGGTTTCAAAATGATGGGTTTGTGGTAGCTGTATGCACACAAATCAAGTAAGATGAGGTTTGATGGATAAGGCAGAGGAATTGATACAGCTAACAGAGGAATGAGATATGCAAGAGAGCAAACCAAACCAGACTACAAGCTCACTAAATTGAGCTTGGATTTTGCTCTGTTCTGCATCTCTGGATGCCCCTGGAAGTGTTCCAGGTCAGGTTGGATGGGGGCCTGCTCTAGTGAATGACATTCCTGTCCATGGCAGGGATGTTGGAACTAAATGATCTTTACAGTTCCTTCCAACCTAAACCATTCTATAATACTATGATTCTACATACACATTGCTTTCATTCCTAAAGTGAAGTTGAAAGGATACTTTGGTAAACCTCTATTTTAAATTTTTCCTTTTCCCGTTTGTTGTTGTTGTTTTTGTTGTTGTTTTTGTTGTCCTGTGTGTCACTAGACTCAGCTTGAGCATCTGCCTGGCTTCTAGTCCTAGGATTATCTCTGCTATATCTTCTTTTGGGCTGGCACAAGTACTGCTTGGCCTATTGGCAGAGGAATTGATACAGCTCAGGCACAGACAATTCTAGCAGGAGTGGGAATAGGAGGGCTGTGAGCCTGCTGGTTTAGGCTGGCACTGCAGCCAGACATTAAGCCACAAGCTCGGCCTAAGACTTGTCCTCCCTTTAACAAATCCTGTTGGTGGACCTGCTGCCAGGGAATTTATTTCAGGCGCCCAGACCGGAGTGCTAGAGCAGCATCTGTGCAGGTGCCTGGCTGGCAGTGTCAGGCTCAGGCGCTCCAGGGAGCAGGAGGAGGCGCAGTGCTGCATCCTGCTTCCCTTGGACCCCCTCTCACGGCTGTGCTCCCGAGGGCTCTGCCACAAACCCTGCAGTCTGGCACCTGGCACCAGACATTTTTGGCTGCTGTGCACACCTCTGATGCCAGAGGCACACACAGGACATACACCTTCACAGGGGAGGGGTTAGGGTAGCATTTGGGTGTGTTCAGCTAAAAGGCGAATTGCATGAAACCTGCAAGTGATTCTGCTTAGATCAGGCCCCGTGAGCTGTCTCAGCTCTCCTGTTAACACAGTGCTGTTCTGTGGGGTGGAAAACAAGCACCTGACAGTGCTTACCCGGAGAAACAGTGTGTCTGAGGAAGGTGAAAGTTTGTGAAAAGACCCTCAGCTCCCACGTCTCACAGATAGGAACCCCTGTAAGGGAAAGCTCCACTTAATTTGAGGTTTAGCAAGCATTGGCCCTGTCAGCTCACACATCCCACTGCAACTACTCTGCTGCAGAGCTGCCCAGCTCCATGTCTTGCAGTAATAGTTAAACAAACCCTGACGATGAGTTCAAGATAAAGCAAGCTCTTGTGAGCAATGGTGATGTCTCCTCCCCACCTCTGACAGGAGGTGCAATGCTAGCTTCTCCAAATGTCTTCTCCCTACCTCACACACAGAATGACAGAAGAGTCCTGTGTCAGAGAATACATGCTGCTTCTGTCTTTCATTTTTGATATATAAAGCGTTGCAGTATCTACACTAGGCACAAAGGTTTGCACAGTCATGGAGCTGCTGGTACAGGATCATGCAATGCCTGAAATCACCCTTGGAGTGCCCAAAGGTTGAGGAGAGGGAACTGATGATTTTCATTCATAAGCATGAATCCTAATCCCAAAGTGATGGCAGCCTCTGCAGCTGTACTTGTCATGGCTTCAGGCCTTTTTCCAGTGGGCTTCTGAGCCCCTCCAAGGATGGAGACTGCCCACCCTCCCTGACAGCCTGTTCCTGTTTTCAGTTTAATATAAAGAGGGTAAAAAAGGCTGCAGTTCCACATACAACCTACAGTGAGATTTCAGCTCTTTGGACAAGTTGTGTGGAAGTCTTTAGGAGCAAATAAGTAGAAAGGCATCCAGTGGGTTGTCTAAGCAAATTGACTGCAGTGGAAAGTCTGACTTGCTTGGAAATTATATTGATTCAGAAATATTCCTCAATTCAGAATTCATTCAGAATTCAGAATTTATTTTTTTTTTTGCCGTATTTATAGAAGACCAGGAGGTACAGATACAGGAGCCCAAGCTCTCTCTGTGGAGGTGCACCACAGCTGCTGAACTGAATCACTGCTGTTACTGTTGTGCAGGGGACTCTAACCTTCCTTAATATCCTTCCTACCAGCCACCCCCTCCAGTTTTTCATCTTTCCCTGTCTTTTGCTGCTATTTCAAAGTAACACTAGTATGGTGAGGTCTCACTCGTTTCGATGCACTTTTTCAGTTTGGCTGCCAAAAAGCATTGTTTTGTCTCTTCTACAGTGATTAACTGTATTGTTCTTTCTAAAAAAAAAAAAGACTGATGAAGCACCCAAATATCGGTCACACAGTGAAAACAGATTAATTTACTTACACAAAAGCATAACCTGGAATAGCATTCATGAAAACAAAACAAAACAAAAATCTAAAGACCTCATTAAATAACATATGGACAGAAATCTGTGATGTTTTTCTGGATTCTTACTTGAACAGGTAATATATCTGTATACCCATAAACTATCTGTATTTCTTCAGGTTCATAGTGCAACATGCTGTTAATAGCCATAAGTTTCAAACTGCCAAGCTCATTGCTTCTGTTGCTGAGTGATATTTTGCTATTCACCTCTGGAGTCTGAACAATAAAATGTGATGTTGTTTGCACTCTGAGCTACTTTAAATACACAAAGTGGTGAGCTTGGCTTTATTTTGTTTGGGATTTTTCAGTTTGAGAGATATTCAGCTTGTTAGTCCAAGGAAGGGATGGGCTGGTGCCAGATCTCTCTTAAGTTCTTAAGTCTCTAGACCTTCCTAAAACTCACTGTTTAAAATAATTACTCACTCTGAAATATTTCTCTCTTCAGCTTCCTGTGTGACATCAAGATAGCAAAGCTCTCTTCCCCCCTGTTCAAAATACTGAACAGAATTTCTTCTCTGGAGGTAAACTTCTGGTGCCTTTCTGCCAGAATCCACATCATTAGGTGTTGGCAGCTGTAAAAGCAGAATAAGCTGACTGAGGCAGATCCTGTCTGTTCAGAACCTTCCCTGTGGGTTACCAGCACGCTCCAGGACATCTAAATGTGTTGTGTTCCTGTTACAGAACTGCTGCAGTTTGCAATCCAGTTTGTTAAAAGACCCTGAAATTAGCAATGTTTTCATAAAGTTGGTGGTAAATTGTTGTTATTCAAGAGGTATTCTTTGAGCCATTACTGCTTGCTCAGAAGAAAGGCAGGCGAGCAGCACAGTCTCCCTAGATTCAGCATCCCGATTTTTACTGCTTTTGTGCAGCTGACTGGGTCACTCAACAGTGCTGCTAACATGCCATGTGAATACAACCACAATAGCTGGAGGAATAAACATTCATAGGTTTGCTTCCTTGCTTTGTTTTTTTTAGGACATGATGACTGATACCCGTGACCTTTGTCTTCTGTTTGCCACACTAAAATATTCTCAAGCCCCATTTTTTTTTTTAATTTTTTTTTTTTCCCCTCTGCAGCATGCTTGGTCGGTTGAGATTTTGTGTACTTTACGAATAGTTTGAAGGGGAAATCTGCTCAGGCGTTGGATGACCTCCCTCTAGTGGCTGTTACTGTGGAATTAAAATAGGGCTGTGATCTACGGAACCCAAGGTTTTGTTTGTATCAACCACTGTATTCCATGAAAGTGAGTAAACTTGGGAAGAAGTCTTACACCACATCAAAATACAAATCAGAAACACTACATTATTGCCAAAGCTTAGTTACTGCTTTTTCAGTCCTGAAAATACTTATCCTCCCTACTTTCTCTCTCTCCGTGTCCTTACACAGGACCATCTAAGGACACTGCATGTAAAATCTGCATGTAAATAATTTTTAATTTTTTTTCCCCAGTTCAGTTAGTCGGCCAAGTAAGACAAGTATACAAGCCTCTGTTTTTCAGATATGGACTCCTGTGCCTGAAACCCTATCTGATTTTTCTAACCAGGCACATTGATCTAGTAAAAGATCCTGTTTGCTATAACAAACCTTGTCCCAACAGATATTTAAAGAACAGGTATGATCTGGGAAATGCAGCATCTTTATTCCATTTCCAGTAGTTTTCAGTTATTCTCTGTAGTAAATATCAGTATCTTTGACAAAATCGTATCTGTATGTATATCCATCAGTTGTATTCCTATGTTTAAGATCTTGCTGATTGTGATTGATTACACTTGTCTGTTAGACATGAAAAGTGCCAGGAATGCATGGCTGTGTTTGTATTTTTGTAGGAAAAGATAGCAATGACAGGGTAGCAAGACAAAAGTTGGAGCTAGAAAACATTCCATTAAAAATGACAAAAATGGAAAGCTCCTGCAGCTGCAAGAGGAGCTTTGCCCTGGTGTCTCCTTTTGGATCTCTCATACTTTGGCTCCAAGTGTTAAGGGATTTGCAGGCAGTGTGAGACAACCCAAGCTGCATTTACAGAACTTCCCTAAAAATCCTGTCTCATGAGTTTATGCTCTGACACAGCAAAAGTTAAGGTTGCTACTGCTATTCTCTTGACTGCTTTTAGTGGTGTTGTAGGCTGGGGTGTTGTCACCTGAAAATACCAGTTGAATTTCCTCTGTCAGTGGAGAGAAAACAATACTTTTACACACATTAGATTTTCCACAAACTAATTCTGGGTGCTATTTGTGTATTTTCACTGGTTTCAATATAGTTGTATTGATGTGAAATTGCTGTCATTGAAGCTGACTGAAGTTCTCAATTTTTTTCTCATCAATAAACGTAACTGTATTATTGATTAAGTATTCTAGAAATAAAATATTTGTTGCTAGCATAGGAAGAAAAAATTGAGAAAAACACACACATTACCATGACAACCTCCATGGCTCTCTTCCATATCAATCCATTCACCACTTCCACCTCCCCATCATGTGTTGGCTATGGATCCTGGGACATCTGAAACTAGGTAACAGAAAATCAAATAGTTAGTCCTTATAAGAGCTTTGAGTTCAGGTTCATGTCCACTCTCTGTGACCTTTCTCCACAGAACTGGGGTAAAATGCTTTGGAATACACATCAACAGATGCCTGGCTGCTAATATGGTTGTCAGGTTTCTTTGCTGAGAGAGACTTTCATGACATGGACAAGATGTCAACCCAAAAGACCTAAAGATTTCATTTGAGAAATAAAATCCCACTTCTGCAACAGCTTCAGTATAATACTGCACATGATCATTCATTGTCTTTACCAGCACTGCCTTCCAAGTCCTATTTGAACACTGAGACACTAACACATAGCACCTTCACATGAATTTAGTGGTAAGTACTGGGTTTTTGCTTTGGTTTTTGTTGTTGGCTGGTTGGTTGGTTGGTTGGTTGGTTGGTTGAAGTAAATAGACTAACAGAACAAATTCAAGCATTATAAAATTGGAAGGAGTTATTGAAACTCAATTACAGCCTATGATGTTATGTAATAATAGATATAGATTTAGGCAGATCAGCGGCCTATCCAGGATATAAATGGGTAAGATTTTATCCTCTGCTTCTCACTAATTACCACCTTCTACCTGTCACTAAAAACACCTTTTACTAGCCTGGGTTTCTCAAAGTCCCATCCAAACTGGTCTTGAACACTTCCAGGGATGGGGCATCCACAACTCCTCTGGACAACCTGTCCAGTGCCTCACCACCCTCACAGTAAAGAATTTCTTCCATATATCCAATCTAAAACCATCCTCTTTCAGTGTAAAGCCATTCCCCCGTGTCTTATCCCTACATACCCCTGTACAAGGTCCCTCTCTCCTCCAGGCTGAACAGCCCCAGCTCTCTCAGCCTGTCTTCATAGGAGAGGTGCTCCAGGCTCTCATCATCTTTGTAGTCCTCCTCTGGCCTTGCTCCAGCAAGTCCATGTCCTTCTCATGCTGGGGGACCCAGAACTGGATGCAGAACTCCAAGTGGGTTCTCATGAGGATGGAGTAGGAGGGAGTACCACCTCTCCCAGCCTGCTGGCCACGCTGATGTGGATACAGTCCAGGACACATTTGGCTTTCTGGGCTGCAGGCACACACTGCTGGGTCATGCTGAGCAGCCAACAGCCCCTAGTCCTTCTCAGGGCTGCTCTCAATCCATTCTCCCCCAGCCTGTATTTGTCCTTGGGATTGCCCTGACCCAGGTGTAGGACCTTGTACTTGGCCTTGTTGAGCTCCATGAGATTCACACAGTCCCACCTCTCCAGCCTGTCCAGTCCCTGTGGATGCCACCCCTTCCCTCCAGCGTGCTGACTGCACCACACAGCTCAGTGTCACCTGAAAATTTGCTGAGGGTGCCTCAATCCCACTGTCCATGTGTCACTGACAGAGATGTTAAAGAGTGCAGTCCCAGTACCAACACCTGAGGAATGCCACTCATATCAAGTGCCACACAACTCACACCAAGTGCCACACCACAAAAACTGAGTCATGACTTTTAAAACAAATGCAAAAAAGACTCTATGATCCAACTGCAGAACTACCATAGCACTTTGCCATAAACAACAGTGTGTGTCAGCTATAACCAGCACCTCATGACTTTATTTCTCCCCTTCTGTATATTGGGTTTATCAAATAAACCAACATACCAGAAAGTGTAGTTTTGTCCCAGGGAAAATTCAGAAAAATATTACTTTTTCACAGAAAGCATTAAGGTAAAGATAACACTTTATGAAAGAGGAGATAGTGATGGCAGGGGATAAATGCTTTAAATAGCCTGGGATGTGCATTATCATCCCAAATTAAAAATCTGTTCTTAACAGATGGCAATAAATGTGGTGTGCAGGAAGTTTTGGAAAATGCTGATACAATGGCAAAGCAGAAAGATATCTGACAAAACAGGAATGACCCCAGGACATCCACAAAAATACTGGAAGGCACTGCCTTCCAGGAATACAAAACTACTGACTTCACATTATTCACCATTTCCCAAACTGAGGAAACTAGACATCTTTTTAAGTTAATTAAAAAGTAGGGTAAAGTGTAGCTCAATATGGGGAAAAAATAATTTATCATATTTTTCTTTAAACAGTTGCTCGAGCAACTGATTTCAGGTTCAGAATTTTCCTGGGGTGCTGTTCTTAAAAAGTTTGTCTGAGAAGTGATGCTGCTTATGAAAGTTAAAATAAATTTTGCCATGGCCTGCTCACTATACTTTTGTTCACCTCTTTTCTCCCGTTCCATCATTGTTACCAGAGTTTTGTCCTTGAAAACCAGGAGCAGGGAAGAGCCACCTCGTGGGCAGCAATACTGAGCACTGCTCTGGAAACAAGTTTGCTCCAACCAGGTCTGAAGAGCAGCCACCAGCAGCACTGCACTGCTCAGGTGTAGAGACAGCCACAAGAGAGATGGGTCAGCCCTTCTGATTTAATTTAATTTAATTTAATTTAATCAGCCTTTAATTTCATGCCTTTTCTTACTGGTGGAGGTTTGGAGGAAGGAAAAACATTGCTTCAGAGCCTGAACCTCTCTCACAGGACAAACGCAGCACAATCCCAAAGGCAACATCCCCTCTAAGCCCTTCCCTTCAGTTTTTTTGCCATTACACTTCCAGAGTGAGCTGTTCTACATGTGTTGACTCCAAGAGGCAGCCCCTTCCCTTTCCTCCTTGTGTCCCCACCACAGATTATGAGGGCAAATACAGGCAGCTTACACAGCGTGAGCCACTGCACCCACATTTCTGTAACATACACACTTAAACCAACATTAGGCTGGAAATCTTGCAGCATAAAAGGCTGCCTGATTTGCCTTGACCTTCCAAATGCCATACTTGTGATTCCAGGATCAAACCTAGCTACCAACAGGCTAATCTCCACCATCCCCCTGAAACAGTCTGTGCTTCCCTTTCAGCACTTCTCTCTAGGCAAAGGGACAAATTCTTTACACTCCTATGCCACCAACTGATGCGAGCTTTTCTCCTGCACTTTACAAGCTGAGGCACAGGAGTTTGCTCTTTAGAAATCTACCTGAACTGTTCCCATCCTTGGGAATATTATTCTGCAAGACATGATTGAAATCAACAGTAACTTTTGCTGGGCACTGGAGACATGTATTTACGTTTGGGAGACATGCAGGGCTTGAGGTGGGTCACGTATGAGTGGGCTGCAGGAGACTTACAATGGGCAAGATTGTTGAGCTTGACCTCAGAACCTGGAAAGAAAGAATTAAACCTCAGGAAAAAGCAAGAAGCTTATTTAAAACGAAGTGTTCTGATTTAAGGCAAAGCATGACATCTTCTTGAGCTGTTAGGCTGCTGAGTGCTAAACTGCACCTCCTATGTTTAATAATTTGATGGACAGTAAGGAAAAGGTCTAAGTTCTAGTAGTTTCCTCTGATATGTTTTGGAGGGAACTTTTTGAGCTATTTTTGACCCATAAACTAATTATAGTGTATATGGGAGAGTTGCAGTCCTGGTTGAGAGGAGGTGAATTCTAGAGGGCAGTTCAGGAAACACTTGCTTTTCCCAGTGGGAGTAAGCTGGACCTGTGGGGACATGCTGGGTGCCAAGGCAGACAACGAGAGAGCTGCTCTGCAGGAACTGCCAGTGCCCACCCCAGCACCCATTTAGGCAGGGTAATGCCAATTTCCACCCTAGCTGTGTGCTGGCACCAGAGTTTGCATCTCAACATGTGCTTTAGGTGTGGTCAGTTTAATTTGCTCATAGGTGAAAGGAGGGGATAGGCTCAGGTGGTCTGGCTGGATCTTCCCTAAAAAAACCCCAGTGCTGTTGGCAACTCAGAATCTGGAAATGTCAAGAAAAGTCTCTGTTACTGCTGGGCTGAAGTTTCGTTAGTTACATGCATGAGTTATCACAGACATTACCTGATGTTGGTATTTAGAGAGAAAAACAAATCTTCCTTAAATTACTCTCATCTAATTCTGTTCTTCAAGGAGCTGCACTCTTTGAAGCCTCTAATACCAATGTCTGATAGTTGAAAAGGTAAAGGAGAACCAAGTGAGGGAGCACAAGCTCATTTAGTAGCTGTGCTTTTTCAACAAGTCATATTGAAGACATACCTATCCTTATCCCATCATCACTAAGTGTTGTTTCAGTGAGAAGCAAACATGTTGTGAAGAAAAGGATTATTCCTTTCAGTACTTAAATTCCAATGACTGTGAATTACATATAGACCAAAGCCTGCTTTAAGTTATATCTTTTCAAGTTAACTATAATATCTGAATGGAGGCTAGAGGACAAGAGTAACTTTTCAGAAATTCTGCAATTAAGATGTTTTTGTGGTTGCTGCAATGGTGTTGCAACACTTGCCCTTGAGCAGGTTTTTCAAAAGAGGAAGGTTTTGATGGTGAGATTACAACAAATTTGTGAGCATGAGATTCAAAAACAGCCACAGGAAAATCCCTATTTTTTTAATACTTTATTCCTATGAGAAGTTCTTGCTCAATCAGGAAGTCTCATTAAACTAATGGAGAATATGAACAAAAGAATGAGGATTAGTTATATGAGTAATGATGAAGACATAGGTACAAAATACCTTTTTTCTTTACAGCATGGCTTATTCAACCAGCATCACTGTCTGGAACCATATAAAAAAAAAACAACTTGTGTGTCTCTGTTTGTCTGACTTTTGAAGGGTGGGGACTAAGCTAAGGAAAATTAACAATTATTCCAGGCAGAACATGACGTGTGTGTTGCAGGGAAGGTTGTTCCAAGAGCCCGTCTGCAAATGACAATGGGATGGAGTGATACCAAAATGATTTTGAATTATTAAGTTGCTGTGGTGAAAAGTTCATTGCAAGCTAAAGCATCTGAAAAAAACTACAGGTTTCTCTGTCCAAGCAACTGGCCACGTAAAAACTTAAAATGTTAAAATAAGGAAATGGCTAACGTGGTAGATTAATATACTAGTAGTGCTACTCAGAATTTTCTGGTTTTTCTTGTTTATCTCACACTCATATCCAAGAGGTGTTAATGAGGTGTTCTTTGACAGCTAACAGCTCTATTTGGGAAGTAAGGCTACTGCATCAGACAAACTGCAGTGAAGGACAACTCCCATCTCCCTTGAGATCCTACATCCACTACCAGAGATATACCTGTGGCCATTTGTCTTATTTTTCTTATTTTTCTGTCTACCATTCAGCTCCCAAATGAGGAGTTGACATCACGATGATAAAGATATACTTTCGAGGTCTAGGAGTGGTTTAACTCCACCCACAAACAAAGTATCCGCCGTTTTCATTCCTTTGCGATAATAGACAAAATTTATGGCTATATCAACAACTTTCTTCCTGCCTAGATAGAGCTGAGGTGAGTCTGATTCTTTGAGTTTAGGCAGACACAATAAGCAGCTGTATCAAAACCACTTGGAATTGTGGCTGGCACACAGCTATCTGGATCCTTGGAAAATTCACAGGCTTGAACGCAACATCATCTTCCGTTGGTTCCCAATTTTAGTGTCAGATTAGCAAAATACAAAAAATACATTGAAAAACTGAAGGTTTAGGCTGCTCATGTTCTCAAATGTGATGGAAGGCAGCCCTGTGCTTTCAGATCATGAGTGGTCTGGGCTTGTGGGCTTGCACAGGACACTGCGGGCTGCCTGCTCTAGTAACCAACTACCTGATATTCACACTGATGCAGAAGTCTGTCAGGTTTGCAGCAGGCAGTGACATGCAGCATGTTGTGCACCCCATGTCCCTTTTGAGCTGGCACACGAGTGGCTGTGACACAGTGCTCCTTTCCCACCCCCTTCCCCTGGGACACAGGACACACATTTTGGGGAAGAGAGAGGAGCCACACATTAGTGTCTTTTCTCGCATGGAAGCTCGGAAGGGCTGCTCCAGCATGTCAGGATGGGCTGCAGCCTTGTTCAGTAGCCAGGACAGACCTGGGCACAGGGAAGGGAGTGAATGGGTGATGGCTGTGACAGCCAGTTGTTACACGCAAACTTTCTCTTGCAGCCCTTAGCCTGAGGGGATTGCTAAGCGTTTAGCAGCTCTTATATTTCGATTGGTAATACTCACTGAATTGCTGCCTTAGCCGAATGATCACCCAGTAGCTTAGTGTGTTCCCACACCTCCCTGCAATGAGTGCATCTGAGGAGATACGAGTGCTGGGGTGAGGTTATTGATGCTTGGCTTAGAGTGAGATGGGAAAACCAGCGTCTGGGTGGGAATGTTGTCATGCAAGGGTTTTTTTGCGGTATTCAGGAACAAAGATCCGGGATGAGTGCTAGACCCTGCTGTCTCTTACACTTGTCATCAGGGAAGGAAAGCAGCAGGAAAGGAGAGCATTGGAAAACTGGTCCCCACAGCAGCAGAGGCTTTGCACATATCCTATTAAAGCAGGTAGGAGACAATGCCTCCAATAATGCCTCCGATTGCCAAGAAGCTGTCAAGAGGGACTCCAGGAAGGGTTATTTTGGCAACAAAGAGCTTCTGGTGCTCAGGGATCTTGCACACAGTCACCCTCAGCAGAGAGAGCAGAGCCAACAGCACAACCACGTTCTGTTATTCCACAAGTGAGCCAGCTCTGAAAAGCAGCTTAGTCCAGTGCATTAGACGAGGACTCAGGTGTCAGTGTACCAGTGTGGCTTTGCCCATGGTCTGCTTTAAGACACTGGGAATATCATTTCACCCTTTTCTGCCTGCTTCTGTGAATGGAAAATAAAAGCACTGATCTCCCTTGTAAAAGCATGTTGGTGTCTCTGACTGAGAAGTGCTGGTATTACTTCTTGTGACCTTTATTTTCCCACTTGACCAAGGCATACCCTGAGGGATTGTTTTCACCCGGCACTGCTTATGTCCCAAATTCATATGCTGTGATTATATTGCATGGAAGTGAAGGCAAGAATTTGGCTTGGAAGAAGTAAGGAGGCTCAACAGCACGGCCTGGGGATGCACACCTCTCCCACGGCCATCAGAACCTACTTTCTGCTTTCTATGAGCAGAGAGAGGAAAGGTGTCCCATTGCTGACACCACTGGTCTGGGACGTGGCCACTGACGTGCCCTGTGATGGTGCATGCTTCTCCAGAGTCCTGGGGAAAGCCATCAAGGGCCAGACAGACACTTAGACCTACATACCTTGGAAATACTTTCCCTCAATTCTCCCATGCTTCTCTTTCTTATCTGAAAGGTGACTTTCAAGAATTTTCTGTCATGCAGGAGTCATGTGCAAGATAAGCGGCCTGAGATAAATACCAAAGATAAGTTAAGGCTGTTATTTGAAAACCAGCTGAATAGGATTGAAAGTCTTTAGCCTTTAAGGGGGTAAGAAAAAGTCTTGGTCTTCATTACATGACTCTAGGCAATAAGCATGCTATTTTAAGATTTGAGGACAAGTGTGTTTTTATCTTTTATCTGAACTGAGATTATTATGGCTGATACTGATGCTACAAATAACTGTTTGGTTTAGTTCTTTCATGGTATGCTACCCATCCAAACTGGCCCTTAAATGACTCCTCTGCTTGCCTGGAGGCCTGCAACTTTCTGTTCTAACAGCTGGGCCACGTCCTGACATCATCATCTCCCTTTGATGTGCCTGAAAACTTAAAGGAAGTGGCTTGGTCTAACTTGGACAGGAGTTTTTTGTTAGAGCCTAGAAGTGAGTCCCAGACTAACATCTGAGATGGATGACTTCTCACCCCAGAGTTGTCCAGCACTCTTGGATCTGACTTGGATACATTCAGGTGATTGTCTGACTGAGTGTTATCCTTGTAAGTTTGGGTTCAAAATCTGTGCAACCACAGCCTCTGAGCACATCTGTCAGAGCCACATGGACACTTTTGGACATGCAATCAAATGTGATGGCAAGGAAAAAAAAAAGGAAGAGGAAAAAAGGACTTATGTGCTCTGGAACTGTTGCATCTTTCAGATGGAAAAAGAGCAACCACAAGAAAATGTTGTGCCCATACTGGAAAACATACAGTGGTTATCATGGAAACAGCAATGAAATATGCAGGCTATGTGAGCTACACAGTGCAGCACAACAAATGTCAACCACCTAAAGTTTCTGACTGTGGAGAACATATCTGGTACCAGATTTGTGGCTTCTGAGTCAATGGACTGTAGTAACATCACAGCAACTGGCTCCCTGGAAAAGTGATCTAGCTATAAATAATATATGCTCATAATTATACTATAAATATCTCAATCAGTAATCACTTGTGCTTCTTGTGGAGGCCAGCTGTAAAATACAGTTATCAGAAGAGAAAGCACTATGCTCATAAAGTTATGTTCTATTTTGAAAGTTAAAGAAGCTCTTCCTCTCTTACTGCTCCCTATGTTTATTTCCCACAAGTTACAGTAGGGAGAAAGTGGAAAGAAAGTAAAACACAGGAGAAAAAATTGACCTGTGCTTCCATTCCTCATGTCCCTGCTCTGGGCTGATATCCCTGCTCTGTGCTGCTGGGAAGCTCTAGGCAGTCCAAAGCAGTGGAGTCCTACCAGGTGCTTCTAAAAGCAACATGTGTGAGGGTGAAATCCTGTTCATCTTCCAACCCTTTCCCAGTCATGAAAACAAGGTGAAAGTAATAGTAAATGCACACAGTAAAGATGAAAATACTGGTTCTGATTCTGCTTCTCTGCATAAATTCTGGACCTTGTACAATGGAGTTTAGGCAGTAGTTATGAGTTATTTTGCAATTGCTATGGGAGAGCTGCTGTGTGTGGTCCGACAGAAAAGCATGTGAAGACTAGAAGTCCACTCCAGCCTGAATTCAGATTTTCGGGGAGGAACTGACTTCAATTTGTTGAAAAATAAAATTTCCCACACCAAAACGAACATCTTGTACAAAATTTCTTCACTACAATGCTTGCATAGATGGCATATTTTAATCTTTATTACTTCTGTTTTCATCATCTCAGATTTTACAGGTGAATCAGCTGAAATGTCCAAGGATTTCTGTCTGAACTTAGATCCCCAGGCATCTTTCTCTCAGACATGGAATGGTAATGCCCATTATGGACAGCACAGACACCTCTCCCTCAATGCTCAAAAAAAGCCAGTAAGATTATTTGATAGATCAGCCTTATACAGAAATTTAATTTTTCATCTAGGTTTTGCCAAAATCAACTTCAGATAATGTTTATACATGTGTATGTGCATGTACACCTATGAAATAGAATTGTAAAATGGTTTGGGTTGGAAAAAGATCTTAAAGATTTTGTGGTTCCAAACCCCTTTCCATGGGCAGGGACACTTTCCACTAGACCAGATTCCTCAATGCCCATCCAACCTGGCCTCGAATACTTCCAGGGATGGGCCATTCACCACTTCTGTGGGCAGCCTGTTCCTTTGCCACACCACCACCACCACAGCAAAGAATTTCTTCCTTATATGTAATCTAAACCTACCCTTTTTAAATTTAAGGCCATTCCTCCCATCCTATCACTGCATACTCTTACAAGAAGTCCCTCTCCAGCTTTATCCATGTGTGAAACAAGCAGAAGTGTGTGTATCCACAGAAAATGCAAGTGAAAGCATGCTCACCTGGGATCCTGCAGGACATCACCCAGAATTGTCTCTCAGGGCTGCTGGTGTCCTTGGGCCAGGCCAGCAGATGGAGAGCACACTGGTCCTGCAATGAACCCCATAAAGAGCCAGGTGACAGCCTGAGCCAAAATAGATGGTCAGGTTTTGTGGCCAGGGGCATCTTGCACACAAATGTCCACAGCATGAAAGAAAAGGAAGAGTAAAATTGCTCCCTGTGCACGTATTTGCACAGGTGGTGACGTGGGGAGGTGGCAGGACCCTGGGTGCAATGTTCTTGCCCTCAAGGCCCTTCAGAAGGTGGATGATCTCCCTGCTGTTCTTCAAGGAGAGGTCCTGACCACAGGTGTTGAGTAGGTAGCACCAGGGCATGGCCAAGGGCAAGCAGGTCTCTCATGCAGTGGAGGTCAGTCCACAGGAGAGATGCTGCCCTAGACCTCTTTGCCCAGGAAACGAGGCAGGTGCTGAGAAAGCAGCACTGCCTGCTGGAAGGGAGATGGTCCTTGAATGACATCCACATGAGCACAGCAGACATTCTGGAGTGTGAATAGCTCCCTGAAGAAAAGCTCAAAGGTCTCAAACTCTTCGTGCAATGTCACGAAGTGAGGGTGCAGGAGGCTCCTGGGCTGCAAGGGTGCAGTGATGGGTGGTTCTGTGTGATGTACTCTGTGCAGTTGGGTTCTCTGAACGCTATTTTCCTCCAGAAGGACACCTTCTCTTCAGTAAGTGCTTTACAGGCTTCTGCTAAAATCAAACTCACTGAGAAGTTCACCCTCCTAAGAGGTTTTTGTGTTTGCAAATTAACAGCTTAAAAAACAAATGAAAGTAAAACACTGTGACTCAGAAGAGCAAAAAGGCAATATCTGGGTGTTGCATAGAGGAGCGATTCACTGCTCCTCAGAAAAAATCTCTCTTGAAATACAATATCAGACAGTACCAACAGTTTGTTTTGTTGGCTGTGCTCGCTTCCTGCTGGAGGACACATGGATCCATCTGATGCAGAGTGTGTAGCTGCTGCCCTTACTTTCAATATTAATAGTTGCACAGTCGTCACTGATGTGGAAGCAGCGTAAGTAAAGAACAACTTGCAGGTGGAAGCTACTCCACAGCACCCTGAAGATTAAGCAGACATATTGCATAATTATGTCTTGGCAATGAGCAGCTGGCACATATTTCAGAGTGTCCCCAAATTCAGTTTATGGGTATTTTCTTAACTGCTCCCTCCCCGTTCTCCCTGCATGTATCATATAGCTGTTAAAATATCTGTGCATGTACCCTGTGACAGGAAAACTTCATATTTATCTCATACAATATGTGTGAAATACATATGTATTTCATATGTATTTCATACAATTCCTTTTTTTTTTTTTACTTGCAGGATTTTTTTTACCACCCCAATGGGTCAGTCATCACTGCTTCTGAATTGTGAAAGACTTGTAACATGAAATAAATCTTACTTCAATATGTCTGTGACAATTACACTTCTAGATCAAGCATATATATAAGCTATTGTGGCCTTTCTGCTCTTTGATATTCTGGATAAATATAATTTCTAGAAGGCAATTATCAGAAACCCAGTTCAATACATACCATTTTCCAGCCAAAGAACAGAATGAAGAAGAACTACTCATCTATCTTCCACCTCTATATTTCTGTCTCCACTATTTTTCATTTCTCATGTAAGGCCACCAACACACATATAAGAAGTAAAAGAATTCTTTTGCCCCTGTGTAGAGTTATGTCACAGCCATCAGGTTTTTTTTCAGCAATATTTTCATTTGCAAATTTGAAATCTGACAAATAGTTTCTGCTAAGAGTCATGGATGACTTGTAATGAGCTTCAGGCTTACATCCATCATAAGGAACTGGATTAGCAAAACCTGCTATTTCAACTACTAAAACTAACCCTAGGCTTTCTGATGAGACATTTGTATTTCTAAGAACTATGTATGCATCTGGTATAACATGCTTATGCAATGAGAGCTTGACATAGCTCAGACTAAAGTGAAATCCTTGGTGAGTCTCTGTTCCAGCTGTGAGTCTGTTCATGTGGATCTCCTGCCATGACACAGCATGTTTGGGGCATGTAAACTTTTCCCAACACCATTTGCTCTAATGTGAAGCAATGCTGAGGCAAATCAGTTGATCTGAGAATTTGCCAGTAAATGTTCTGGGTGTTCGGTACATTGTGCTACAGAGGGAGAAATACCATCACCTACCTTCCAGCTCCTGCTGACAAGCCACCTCAGGTGCTGGCAGGTCCCTCCCAGAAGCTGCTCTTCCCTCCCATCCTGGCCCTAAACAGCCTACAGGAATCTGTTCAAACAGATTGCAAGCTGCTGGCAGTGGCTTCAGCCCATCAAATACAGTCAAAAGATGTAATGAAGAGAGGAGCACTGGAGAAGCTTTGTAAGGGTTTATGGACAGAATATCCCTAAGAGCAGTGCAGGACAGATCTGGCAGTCAAGCTTACCTGGAGACAGCAAGCAGCTGAGCCACTCCTCACTGGGCAGTCAGCAGGGACAGGCAGGGATAGCTGTCTCACACTGGAGGTCCAGGGCAATATTCTTCGTGTGCACCAGTGCTTTCAGGAGGAGAACTGCTCCAATGGAACTGAGGAGCTAGAATGGAGGTGGGCAAAGAACAGAGACTCACCCAATGCTGCTGCAGACCAACAGTATAGCTTGTTAAAAGATGCACAGATCCTGAGCTGAGACACTGCACAAGTCCAGCAAAGAAATGCACAGCAAACACGATCATGAGGGGAAACCATGTCCCAGCTCAGTCACTGGTGAATGCTGTCCTAGGGAGCACAGACCTGCCCAGTGCTTCTAACTCATTCCCAGTCTGATTGTTACACTGCATTATACCCAGGTACAAACTCCACTCCCCTGTCTGACACCTCAGAAAAGCAAATTGCCATGACAGCTGGTGACTGTAAGGCCAGCAGCCTCTTGCTGTCCTCTGTGGATTCCACAGACTGTGGAGCTCATAGCCTTCCCACCTCCTCACTGGGTCAGCTGGCAGCAGCACCATCCTCCCCTTCTGCCATAGTCTTAACGTGAGACCTCCATCCAGCTGGAGTTAGGAGGGTGTAGAAGGAGAAAAGCAGGGGGAAAGATGCCAGCATTCCTGCAGGAGTCAGGGTTTCATTGAGAGGGGTCTCAGTTGGGGGCAAAGAGCACAGGAAGCTTTTCTGAAGTACAAAGGCTGAGATCCTTCAAGGCATTTAGATGTCTTGGAAACTGTCAGATCTTTTAAAACTGCAGTAGGCACTGTGTAATCTGCTACACAGCTAGGAAAGCCTCTAGGATTTCAAAATATATACATTATATATATATATATATATCTGTAAGGAGCTTTTTAGTTGTTGAAGCCATGCATTACTAGCATGGTCCATATGAAACAAGTAAAGCTACATGCAGAAAATGAGTCTACTCTTCACAGAACTGCAATGCAAGACTTAATTTTTCCTTGATGCGCTTTGTTGTTGGTTTGGGCTTTTTTTTCCGTGCACAGACATTGCTGCAACACCTTTGCAGAAATCCAGATTCACCGTGATCCTTCGGTACCAATGGCCTTGGGGGAAAGAAGGCTGCATGCCTGGTGATACTTCTTAATCCCAGGGCCTTGATTCTCTGGCACGGTTAATATTTAGATACCTGAAAACATACATGAAATGATTGCTGTGGGAAATCAAGCTGTCAGAATCTTCAGAGTTTTGAGGTTTGTTTGGGTTTGTCTTTTAGCACTAGTTCTGCCTTGTGCTGCTCTGTGTGAAATAGACCCATGCTTGAATTATGGGCAAAGATCATCTAGCCAAACTAACCCTTCCACCTCAGGAAAAAAAAAAAAACAAAAACGAAAAAAACCAAACCCCAAGACCAACACACAAGCTCAAAAAACCAAACCAAAGCCAGTCAAATAAGCAAAAAAAAAAAAAAGTGTATAAGTCACATGAGCCACCTCAATGGAAAGAGTCTTTGTCAGGTATCAGTGTTGTTTATTTACAGACTCATCCAAAGTTCAGATGCAAGGAGCAGCCAAATCTAGATGTACATCTGAACCATATTAAGGCACCTATCACCACCAAGGTGTGAGGAAAATCATGAGGGTCCTAGCTTCATCTGTTGCATATTGTATTGGACCTCCGCATATTCTGGGGGCAAGAACAGAGTTATGGGACAAAAAAATAATAGATGATTGAATATACTATGCAATTTAACAAATAGGCTGTGTAAAAGGGTTCTGTGCTGGCAGGACTAAAACTGCTGCTGACTGAGTTTTGCAGTGCCACTCCTTTCTATTGTTCTCTGGACCTGCATTTAAGCGATTTTCATTTTAGCATGAGAAGAGTTTTTGGTGTGGCTCCTGTAGTGGAAACATACTCCCCAGTAGGATTGGGGACTGAAATGTCTTCCATGTGGATGAATGGGAATAGACCTTTCCAGACAATGAGGATATTATCTTAGGAATAGGGTAAGTACTCAGTAAACTGCTCCTGGCCTTAATAAATATAGGTAATTGGTTTCAGCTAATTTGTAGCTAATTAAAAAGCAAGATGCACAGGTTTTGCACACTGGTTTTGAGTTCCTGTTTGGCCTCAGTAAGTAGTGATGAATGTGATGCTTTTCATGTTTATTTGGAGTCATTTGGCATTTTTTATTCTGTTGTTAAGACAAAAGTATCATGATATTCCTTTTCCTGGCCTTCTCATGCAAAGCTGTCAGTTTGAACTGGAACCACTGTTAAATTCACAGTGAACCTGTAGGGAGCAAACAATTTTTTCCTCAGTGTGGTTTCTCTGGTTAGGAAGTGCAAGTAGCCACAGATTGCTGTTCTGTGCCCACGTAAAGGATCTCTTCATCCCTCACGCCCTTTGAACTGAATGAGATGAAACTTCTTTGGTCTTGTGTTGGTTTGGGATGCCCTAAAATGTGCATGGTCTCTTTAAAACTCCCCTTGGAGCAGCCCTGCCTGGCAGGGGTCTTTTCTAACACATGCCCTGTCTGAGCTGGAACTCACTGTATAACACAGGGAAAGTGAAAGCAGACTCTGAGTACAAAAGCAGTCAAAATTTATTCCTCTCTCTCCTCTTCTTCCTTGTTCATAGCAGTCCCTGCCATTCCTGCACTTCTCAGCCAGCCATAATCTGAGTATTGAAAGAGAAGAAAATTCAAACCTACCTGAAGCAGGAGCTCCCAGGCAGACGCATTGACACCGGACAGTCACAACGCAGCAGCACAGGCAGCAAACAGGAGGAGAGGTGAAATGACACATCGAGGCAAATGCTAGCTCAGCTCACATGGTCCAGCAAAACCATCAAGTAATCTCATTGCACACAGTCAGTGAGCACATCTGTCTGCACAAACAGCAGGGGCCAGACAGTGCACCATCTCCCCGCCTTTGTCTTGCTGTGCTCTCGAGTTCCAGACACAGAGCCTCTTACCCTGCAGGAGCTTCGCTGCTCGTCTGCGTTTGCAGTAGACTGTAGTACAAAGGTTTTGGGAATAGGTAAGCTGCCTAGCCTCTTAGCAGAGCGCATTTTCAAGTCAGACTTACTACTGCTCCAAAGCAGAGCACTCGACAGCTCCCTTCTCCAATTAATTTCCAACAGGGACACGTACTCACCTCTGTGCAAACCACTCCTCATCAGCTGCTCAGGAGCAACAGCACGGCATTCTCTTCCCTGCTCATTTATCCTCCTGCACAGGGAAAGCAAGACATAATTAAACACATCCTAATAGAGGACAGGCAGGCTGTGGTGGTGAAGCTGGTTTTCTTCTGTAAATATGACTAGATTTTACAGCTGACACTGGTGTAGGCCAGGCACGGATAGGGATCTGTTTTCTCACTGCCGATTAGCACACACGTTAGTGTACAGTAAAGTGCAAATGCACACGTGCAGCTACTATTTGCCCTGGAGGAGTGTCCAAAGGCAGCTTACAATGGGTTTTGCAAATGTTTGGGCACTTGCTAGCTTTA